TAATGATAGTTCGTTAAATAGTCTTGATTTTAACTCTTTTCTCTAAAACGATGATTTTAACAAAGGTGAATAAAAATTCGTTATTAATTAATTGGAAATTACTATCCATTAATTATTATTACTAACAATATTTTTTAATTAATTAAATTCTTGTAATAATAGTAAGAGAAAGAATCGACGAGTGACTTAATTTAATCCCCACTATAAACTTTATCCATTCTAATTATTTATTTTTTTATTTTATCTTTATTTTTATTTCTTAAAACTAAATAAAATTTTTACAGTTTTTTTGATTCTTATTAAATGGTGATATTGCGAAGTATTGTTTTGGTTAACACCGATTATTTAACAAGTATAATTGATTATGGCTTACTTTTGGGTACTCTTGTCAGTTAATCGCAAATAATTCAGTGCTTATCAATTAATTAGTTTACTTTGATTCTTGTTTTTATATTTATTGGCCAATTTCAAACTCACTTTAGTATCTTGTTTAACAGCCTTATGTTCACCAGTATTTCCAATTAACCTTTGGGCGATACTTCATTAACGCTCGCTAGTTAACCAACGTTAGTCCTAACCTTTCTTGCAAAATAAAACGTGGCTTTTTACCAAGGCATTGCACTCGTTGCTTTTATCAATGTGCTTTAAACAAACAAAATAAAGACGACGTTTTTATTTTTCTTTGCTTGGACCCAAAGTCATTCCCTATTCAAGTTAACAATAAAGGTTTATTATTGCAAAGTAACTTAATTAATCAATAAAGCTACGTAAAATCTTCATTTGGTAATGATTATGTTGTATATAGGTCTACATTAAAATTAGTTGACCCTGGAACATAAAGTATTCGATGATTTCTACTCTGGTCATGTATCACGTTATTAATAAATAAGCGGAGTGGGAAAAATTTAGCTCCTCGGGAACAATTGATGAAACAAAGAAGAGATTGGGATGCACAAGAAAATATAAAATATAAAAATATAAAATTGAAAAAGACCTTTGAATATATATTTATATGTTTTTTTTTATGAGCTTTTATACATTTTATTATTAACCTTTGGAACAATTTTACTTATGTCAAATGTTTTTACTTGCGTCATTTTTGACTTATGGCAGCGAATTTGACCGTAATAGTTTTACAACTTTCGTCGAACAACGTTAGTTATTAGTGAAAGGAATAGCTTCTTCTGTCACTAAAGATGAAGATGGAGAATTGATATTATTTATTGTTTCATTTTCTTCCACTATTACAAAATTCAAGGTCAAGTTTAATTTTAACGATGCAGAGATATTAAAGACTCTGGTCAAGAATAAAAGTGACTGACTATTCATTCCTCAAAAGTAATAATAAATTAAGCGAGGAAATATCCGAATTAAAATATGACTAGACCATTTGAAATAAGGTTTATAACCAAAGGTCTTAAATTTTTGATAATAAATCATTCTCTTAATGACCACCAAAGCGTTGAGGTTGTAAGAAGGGGAAAACAGGGCATAATTAAATTATATCACTTATGATAGTATCCAAAATGAAAAGAATTCTATTAATAGTAAATCAATAATAACAAGCGTAAACTTCGTTGATACATACTCCGGATCCCACAAGAAATCTTGTGCGAAATGTTACAATTTAGAATGTTAGAATAATCTTTTCTTGATAATTCCGTGAGTTAATTATTTTATTATTATTATTATTATTATTATCATTATTATTGGCTTATTACATTCATTTCATTTATTGATTTTCCGTGATCCATAAATTACTATTACTATTACACGTAGTTATAACCTCAAAGTCAAAATTCAAAAAACAAATTATGAAATGTAATAAAAGAATAGTAAAAAGAAGAGACATTTTTATTTTGAAAAAAGAGTGAGTACGTGGAAAAAAAGTTTCATAATAATAAATTAATATTTAAATTATAACATTTGTAAACTTTCCATGATAATTATTCTTCTCGCGTCATTGCAATATACACACAACAATGATGATTCTTTATTCATCTCCGGGACACACATTTTTACATAATAGAACTTTTGATAATCCTATTTTATCATTATTGCTGCTTGTATCAAGTGTTTTTATTTAAGTAAAATGTTTTAATTATTTCAAGTGGTTTTACTTATATCAGAGGCTTTATTTTAGTCAAATAGTCAAAATGTCCCTGGTGAAAAATTACCTTTAGTCAATACTTTAGTTACGTCAATGACTAAAGTCAAAAGTTTCGTCATACATCATTACTAATAACACATCTCTTATTATTTATTACTTCAACTGATGATACCTTATCTGTACCCCCCAAAAAAATAGTGGAAACTAAAGTCGATAGATATATTAATAGGGGAAAGAAATTTCAAAAGGACATTGGAATGCTATATGCAATTTTTGTGGGGCGTCTGCTACTTGAAAATCACTTGGACTTTCTATGCATAAAACTCAAACAAAGGTTTGTGATTTGTTTTTGGAATGACTAGTTACAAATGCAATTGAGGTTAATGAATCAACCACAAAAAAAAAAGAAAAAGAAAACTCAGTAATCAATCAATTCAATCAAGGCAATCAAAGCTTTCTGATTATGTTGAAAGCATTAAAGATATAAATAGGGCATTGGTAAAATCATTTGCTATTTGTAGTTTCCCTTCATATTATAGAAATTGGAGCCATTGAAACATTACATCCATCAAAGGATATTCTTTCCGATCGCCTTTTGTTGCGAGAAACAGCTTTTGTTTACACTAAAGAATTAAAAATTAAAAAACTTGGCTTTGGGTAAGTTTGATCTATTTATATGGAATTATTACTTCAAATTTAACTTTTTTAGCATGTGATGGATGGTGTAATTCTTTTAATGAATCAATTTGGGGTTTTGTTGTACACTTCTGGTATTTACGGAGCCTTCGAAGCTTATCAAATAAAAGACATACTCGGGAACTTTTATCTTAGGAAATGGAACAAGTATTAGTATTAGTATATTAATATGGTAATAATAATAGTGTTCCGAACGGGTCGAGTTTGGTTTCCATTCAACCCGAATTTTTTAATTGTCAACCGGGTCAGATATAAAAATTTTTTAATTATCAAAAATGACTGAATAATAAAAGTTATTTCATGCTTTAGTATTATTTTATTTAACTTAATTCTTCTGAAAAAAACCAATTCAACCATGCGTATACCTCCAAACGGCATCATTTTTTTTTTCTAATTAGATTACCAACACCTGAAAGGATTCTTTCAACTGACACATTTGCACCTTTATATTAAATGATATATTTGTTGTTACAAGCTAAATATATATAAATGAATAAAAATGAATTTAATGAATGAATGAATGTTTTTAACGTAAGGCAACTTTGGTTTCTCACAATCCATTCTCACAACATTTCCTATTTCACTAGAATAATTTATTAAAATCAGCATATATAATTTTTTCTAAATGTTCAAGTAAAATATTATTATACATGGGATAAAAGATGAAACAGTTATATATTTGAAGTAGATATGTATCAAATTGCTCTACTAATATCTGAAACATGTATAATAATTAACCATTATATCGTCTATTACAATGTTTGTAATGATTATGCAATACATTTGATATTTATTGTTAATTAAACAAATAAAATTGAAATTGCATCATCCAAGTAATGAATGGTTTGGGAAAACCACATACAAACAAAGATGAGAAAATCTGACAGAGTTAGAAAATCAACCCATGATTTCTTTCCATGTGGGCAACGGTCCTGATGTTTCATGTTGCAATTCAAAAAAGGATGCAAAATGGTTGCAAATGTAGTCGCAACTACTATCAAAAATTGCGACCGGCATCCTTAAATGGTCCATCACCATGTAATCCAAGTGGCGATGGAAAAACTTTAATGTCTTGGCTGCTTTTTTTTTGTATGTATGTCGTGTGTGTGTATGTGTGCCAATGATATACAAGTTGTAGGGTTCCTTAAAAGGCACTTAAACAACCACTTCCAAAATGAATGAACCTGATTGATATTGATCACAAGTGTCAGATTTAATAAAATTTTTCTCCCTCAAACATGCGATTGTCATGTAAATACACCCCATCCTCATGGAAATTTTTTTTCCATGGGTGAGGCAAATCGAACATATTAGCAGACTTTGGTCAAGTGAGAGCCTTTAGCAATCTCTTTAACAACAATACAATTTCCAATAAACCTCGGAGCCACGCAACCCTGAAATTAATTGCATTGTTGTATCATCGATTGTCGCAGGTCAGATTAGTGAGGAATAAAAGAATAATTAAAATATTCGAGCTCGAAGTAAGTTTCCATCTGATAACCAGACATTGCATATTGGGTTGCTTCTTGGTGTTCCCAAATCATCAAAGTGCGTGCAGTTTTCCATGTGAGATAGAGATCTCTGACAACCATGCTACTTTCCTTACATTTTTTATAATTATTTAACATTAATAATGATTATGCAAAACTAACATATTAACCATTTGTTTGTCATCATAAATATTCTTTAACTAAGCCCCTAGATTTAAAGAACACAATTTAATTCTTGTAAATTAAACACATTTTTTAAAAAGATAATTTAGATTATCTCCAAAATTTTGTATTAGACTTGTCATATACATTATAATTCTCAGAAAAAGGTGTTACTACCAAGAAAAGATATCGACTCCCAAGGTTAGAAATGGAAAAATGAGAAGAGTGTTATACTATTTGCTAGTGTAAAGCAGAAATGGTTTGGTTAACTTTGCTAAGCAATTGTTTAATAATAAATATCTTTGTCTGCATGGAGATAATCCACCTCACAGAGTCAGTTCATGAGTCCATAAGCTTTGGGGTGATTTCAGCTTGGGGATAATGTAAAGGGCCAGGCACTTTGTAGAAATGCAGCAAAGAATTATGATGTTAAGGAAAATGAAAAGCCAACTCACATTCATATACTGATGAAAGTGGTGGGCGTCGTTATTATATATTGTTTGTAAATTTAGATTGTCCAGAATGTTGTCTCTTCATATATACAGATAAATAATTCAGCTTTTTTACATACTACGCGGATCACTATTTGATTAATTACATCTGTTTATTGTAAGTATTCAATGAATAATGAAATAGCTGAATTGGAGGATTAGTGGAGAAAAAACTGGAGCAAGGAATGCGCATTTAAGACAAAAAGGTATTTGATTCAATGCAACTCATCATACATAATTTGTAAGTAGACTTTGAATATTTTATGACACTCAATACTATCTGTATATATTAATAATATGGTGCTTGTGTGGCTTTTACAATTTACCGCATGGAAGAATTTATTGGATGAAAATATTTACATCCTTGAAACTATGCAAATTGTATAACGAATACTTATGTAAAGGCATCTGTTAATTAACCCATTTATGCTTTTAAATTTCGTTTTCAGGGCAAATGGTGAAAGTATTTCACTCAAGACTTGATGCGCAAAGTGGAAGGTGTTATACATGGGGAAAAACAAGGTTTTCGCCTGCTTTGTAAACATGACAAAGAAATTTTGTTTGGTGAAGCTAAGCCACAAACAACAGAAAATTGCAAACCAAGCATGTGCAGGATATAGGAATCCATGACGAAACATATGGTGTGATTGTGAATGGCAAGTGATCAAAGCTGATGAGCAATATGCGAATTATATGTTTATGTAATAGGAACTAGAATTGAATTTTGGAGAGTCTCATTAGAGCATGATGGTTTATATCAGCTTATACATCCTTGTTATAATTGACTTTTCCTGCTGAGGCTGCTGAATTCATTCTAATCCTCAATGTCATGAAAAGATGTTATGAATTAAGGGTAAAAGCCGTATATAGTGCATCTGGAATAGCATGCATGCTTGTTTCAAGTAAAATTTTTCTCACTAATATTTATTTTAGGGGATGATCATTGAAACTGAGCAGTGGATTATGAAGAAAAATTACTTGTTGAATATGAACTTTCAATGTGGTGGGTGTTCTGTGGCTGTTGATCCATCAAACATATGTATCACATTTGCTACGTACATGTCGAAATAAATAAGTAATAGTAAATAGAAATAATAAAATAATTTAACTCGGAATTAAGATATTTCGGCCAACATTTATTATTATTATGTTAACATCAAATTCCAATTCCGGTAAACGTTATTTATTAAAAATAAAAAATAAATTGTTTACAAAGAAATAAACAATGGTCGTCGAAAATTGATTTTTTTCTGGTGCGAGACTATTCGCAAAAGGAAGCTGACATTCATGGTCTTTTTTTTTTGTCGAAATAAATAAGTAATAGTAAATAGAAATAATAAAATAATTTAACTCGGAATTAAGATATTTCGGCCAACATTTATTATTATTATGTTAACATCAAATTCCAATTCCGGTAAACGTTATTTATTAAAAATAAAAAATAAATTGTTTACAAAGAAATAAACAATGGTCGTCGAAAATTGATTTTTTTCTGGTGCGAGACTATTCGCAAAAGGAAGCTGACATTCATGGTCTTTTTTTTTTTTTTGTGGAAAAGATGGTCCAAGAATGGAAAACAAAATAACGTATATATATAAAAAATTGATTGCAAAATTCGGAACTTGTTGTATCATAAAATAATAATAATATTATTATATACATAGGCAACCCGTTAAACCGAAGGCAATTGTGCAGGAACTTTTCTTCGGATTAACGGTTTTTTATAATCCAAAGTTATTATTAGAGTCATAAATTAATTCGGATAAACGGGGTAATAAATTTAAAAATTTAGGATTTAGAATTTCCTTTATCCATTTTCTGGCAGTGAATTGATTTGGATTCAATGATAAAAAACAATCGCTCTTTTTTAGAATGTCAGAAACAGTAGATTCACTGACATTATATTTAGATGCAAGCTGGTTATTTTTTATGTTTGGTCTTTATTTTTTTCAATGCACATTTATATTTTTTTGTGAGATTGTTATAGGCATATGTTTTCTTTTTGATGCCCAACTTCTTCAGTAGTTTTTTTTTTTTCCTCTTGTTTGCACTAGAGGAAAGTCTACCCTGGTGCTGAGTCATGTATCACAACACATAGATATAAATAAGATCATCATAAAAAAAAATTAACAAATATTATGGTTTTTTTCCCCCCTTTTTAAAATGCACAAGCATGTTTTAGTTCAGGAATATTAATATTTTTTCTAGAGATCGATTTCTAAGAATGTTTAATGCAAGTGTTTTGAGACATGAGGTGAATTTAGAGAAAAGAACATATCTTCACCAGATATTATCAGACATAGTGATAAGAATTTTTCAAACCTTTCCTATCAGTCCTGTCTTGTTTTATAATGTTAGCAGTTTTATAGATCATGCTATCAATAAATTAGCAATTTTGGATCATGAATGGAATTAATTTATTCACTATAGGCAATCATAATAAATCTTATCACATACATCGGATAATTTACATGATCAATAAATACATTAATATTAACCTTTTTATTTTTGCTGCTAAAAATTCTTTCAATTTATTATAATGTTATAGATAAAGAATAAACAATCTCAATCATTTTGTTTTACAATGAACAAGACATAGTTCCGAGCATTTTCTCTTTCTTGGTAGATCCATCAATGCTTCCTCTTCATAAGAATTATAATCTACACTAGGAGGTGATGATATGGACAATTGTGTTTGTGGTGAATGAGGAGATGATGATGGGGATGATGACAATGACTATAGATAAAAAATAAATCACATTAACTAAATAAATTTTTTCCTTCAGAGACATGATCACTTAATTTATACTTACAGATTTATTCTTACAACCTTTTCTTAATGGATGCCCACAATTATAATTTATAGTTATTCTATTTCAAAGATTATATTTTCGCATCAATGGAGTTGGAGTAGGGCTTAGCGTTCTTTTTTTATTATTTGATGATGATGATGTTGTTGTCATCAATACAGGTGGTGGTGATGACGTTTGTATACTTTCTTCAGAATTGTCGTTTGAGTTTGATGATGATATTATTGTTATCAGTGGTGATGGTGGTGGCAGTTCTATAATTTCTTCAAAATTAATACCTGAATTTGGTGATGTTGTTATTGTTATTGATTCCAGTGGTGTAAAGACTAGTGTCATAATCCAAAAAAGGAAAAAGTATGGTTGCAAAAGTGGTCACAAAGGTAATTGCAACCACTTTTTATATGCCGTAAACACAATTACTACCATCATCATAATTTACAGCACTAGTCTTTACAGTGGTGGTTGTGATCTGTTTTCATTGTCATTATCATCGTTGTCATTATTGTTGTTATTTTTATTGTTATTGCTATCATCATCTAAATTTTCAAAGTAACCATCTAAGGTTTTTGTAATATTTGTAAATGAATTATTCAAGTCATCTAGAAGATCACTATTTCTTTCCAAGACATTTATTATGGTGGATTGGTCAATTTCATATATTTCGCTTAGTTTTGAGATGGTACTTTCCCTGAGAAACTTTATGGAATTGGTATTAGTTTTAGATCTTATAATCAAAAACTAAACTCGCTAAAATTAAAATAATCTGTCTTATCCATTGAAGTAATACGATAAACTTACTTGTAGTGGAGACAAGAAGGAATCACTAGGATGTTTAAAATAAATAATATTTTTAGTGTTGTTTATTATTATAAACTAGAGTGACGACAACCACCATTCTTATGATAAACACTTGTTTCAATTATTTTATCTTCTCTTTTTCTATATTTTTTGAATGATGCCATTTTCAAATTTTGAAATTTTTTTTTTTTAAAAAAATAATGTGTATATTAGTAATAGATAATCTGATTTTGATACATGTAACCCAACATAGCGGGCTTTCTATTTTATGGAATGATCGGCATCAGTTACACCACATATTTCATATGTAAAATTTGCATCGCCTGACTTTAAACCAATTGTTGGCCACCAAAACCGATTGTTGAACAATATAAACAATATATTCTAATTTTTCAACTTCTATTTTATATATTTTCAAAGTAATTCGGAAAAAGGTGAAGTAATTCAGAAGTTAGCTTTGAAAGACTTTTTTGCATTTGGTAAATTGTATGTTTACTTTGAAAATAATAAATTATTTAACAATCGCTAGAGCCGTAAAGAACAATCTTAATAGAGAGTTTAGATTCTGTTTGATATTCTGGTTAGTGATTTGAGATGTTTTTGAATAAAT